CCAAAGATTCACTATCAAATGAATAGGCAGCAGGCCCTTACTTAAAGTGAGGGTCAAGGCCTGGGTGGAGACATATTTCATCCACACTTCCTGTTAGGGCTGGGCGATATGACGACTTTAGACCGTTTTACGATCTACACATCTGACGGTCTGTCATTTTTGAGAGACCTTTTTATCACGATTCACAGCTCTGCTGTTGAATTTCTGCCTCTGAATGAAAAGGGAACTTACCCCAGGTGAATGACACGCCTTTGTTTGACCCTTAACCAATCAGAGTGAGTCATAGTAATATATTAGTGCCCCGCTTGTTTTCATTTGTGTGTGAACAAACATGGCTTCGCCGCGGCTGAGCGACAACGAGGTTTTCGTTCCGAAGAGGAACGCAGGGTTTCCTTAGCGCACGGCGCTAACAACTTAGCGACGTGACATGTCTCGGAGAAAGCATAAAAACACGTTGGACGCTTCTTCTGAAGCAGGAAAATAACATCGCTTCTTAAGCAGAGCACGACGCCGCCTCGGCTCGTCCACCCTCTGCCGAGCCGGACTGAGCTCGGTCACTGGGTCGTTGGAGCTGCCCCGTGACTGCCTGATGGAAAACCAGCAGGTTTCATCAGACTCGTAAAGTTTCTTGTTTTTGCTGGGACCCCCTGTATTTTACTGCTCCCTCCTGCAGTCTTCCCCTATTAACATTTAAAATGATTCTGTTAATGCCGTGTATCAATAGAAACAATCTCTGCCTCTGCCAGCTGCAGTAAATGTAGTCTCCAAATAATAAGAGGTGCATTCATCTGTGTATCTCCTTTGATCCGCATTACACCGGCTTTCCACGGGAGCCGTCAGCAGCACGTTACTGCAGCAGCACGTCACAGCTGCTGATAGGAACGGCTGTGGTCAACAGAATCTTTACCACCGGAGCCGTCAGCAGCGCGAGTCGGCCGCGTCTCAGGAGCAGCATGTCGCGGCCTTTACGCGCCGGTTCTATTTTCTACGCGCGACGCCTCTGAAACGGGTCAAGTTCGACATTTTTGGGGAAGGAAAGACAGGAAATCGGACGCGGAAATGGAGAGAAGCTCCTGAGATTTTCAGAATAAAGAACGTACTGCCTTCCGGTTGCTTTACTTTTAAAAAAAGTTACTAACTGTGCGGCCCCGTGAGAAGTTATCACCTAGCTAGCGGTCTCCTTTGTTTTTCAGGTCCGTAAAACGGACAGAACATAAAACACAAACCATGTTGTAGATTTCTCCTGCTTGTTGTTGTGTTTACTGACGAAGTCACTCGTGGGACTTCGTGCTCGGTCGGTGACAGCTGCTCCCCTGCTGCTTCGCGTCTCGTGGGAAGGGCCAAGCAGCAGCTTACGCGAGCAAGACGTGCTGCTGCAGTAACGTGCTGCTGACGGCTCCCGTGGAAACCCGGGGTGAGTGATATTCTCAGCACCAGAACAGTGAAGCAAAGAAAGAATCCTGAGTTTGTTAGTAATTTTATTTATTAGGTGCATCTAACCTGTTCTATTTTTCTCTGAAATGAGATCAAATCAGTGCTTCTATGGGTTGTCTCCACTCTGCACTGGAAAATTTTACTTTATTTAGAGACTTGTTGCAGAAAATATTCAGAATGAGCAGTTTTTTGCTACCACAAGCGATCTCTGGTCCAGCCGCACATCAGAGCCGTATTTGAGCTTAACTATCCACTACATGAGCAACTGGGAGCTACATAGTATTTTGAACAAGTTAATGTTTGCACAATACGTTTGCAATTGACATGTTTGCACTTTAAATATGTTTACGATTTTAATTTATGTTAAGTTACTTGAAAAACGAGAAAAACTGATGTTTGTAATAGTATCTCTCAGGGCTTTTATCATCTCTGGTGTGAGTTTAAAATATAAGTGTGTTAGCACTGTGCTGATTATCCCTAATATGAATAAATGTTTATTTATTCAATGTTTCTCTCCTTTAATAAGCAATTGAAGTTATGCTATTCATGGATAAAACATCGTGATAAAATCGAAATCGTGATATTCTATTTTTGCCATATCGCCCAGCCCTACTTCCTGTTAGGAAAACGCTTCTGAAAGAGGCGTGGCCTGGCGGACCGAGAGAACTGAGGCAGTGGTAGACCGCACCCCCCTCAACCCCCCCGCATGTGCTGTGGGAGTTTCTCAATCTAAAAGCGAGTTGTTAACGGGCACGTGCGCTCAAGCACACACTCACACGAGACGTACCGCTCAGGAGAAGAGCAGACACAGATTCTGCAGCATTCTAGAGGATTTCCTGTTAACCACGACCATTAGATGAAAAAGGGCAGGAGGGTCTTTCTTCTAGGAGGCGAGCGGCTCAGAGCGCTAATGTGTCATATCGGCAGGTGAGTGGCTGAGCCAGGTGGAGGTGCGGCTGCCTCACCTGGAGACCAGTGTGGTGCAGCCACGTAGTACTTTGCTGATAACGTCACGCTTTTCAGCTTAGCCATCAACGGGCGTGTTCGAGATGAGCCAGTTCTGCGCAGATTAGATCACTGGTGATCGGCGAGCAGTGCATGCGGTTAGATTTGTGTCCGATTTGACGCCGACTTGCTCTGACGTCATGCATACGTAGGCAACGATAACCTCGTGAGATCAAGGCGGCCGCAGATTTTGGAGCAAGGCGCTGCAGTTGCTCTCCACCGGCTGCAAACCCTAGGGGATGACGGGAAACGCCTGGCTCTCACCTGATCTAAGATCTGATTGGTTCACATTCTGATCCAAACATCCGGTGGTAGAACATGAGATGTTAGTTGGTCACATGTTTTCTGTAAATCACTTTGATGATGACAACTATATAGGCCATAAAGAGAAATGTGTTTTGTGTTCTGTTGTCACGTTTCCTATGAGCACACTGAAGCTACAGCTGATAACCTTTACTTATTATTACAGTCATGTCTTCATATACATTATATGATATCCACAAGCACGTGAGGATGTGTTTCAGCTGCTAACAGGCACCAGAATTAAAATAAATAATTAAACAAGTGTGAACGCTAACGCGATATCTTCTTCCATCGTCACCCATGAGCTACACATGTAGGGACATCTGTCCGACTTAAACGCCGGTGTTCGGGGAATTTCTCCTACCCCGTAAACCGTCCTACCCGTCGTTCCTGCGCATGAGCGCGCATGCGCACCACACAAAAAGGGAAGCAAAGTGCATCCGGCTGTGATTTCATGCTAGTCCGTTGTCAGATTTGCAGGAAAATAGGTAAGTAGGAAGTATTAGTACTTTTTATTGACGTTGATACTTGATTTATTTAAGCCTTTGTGATTGTTTGTCAATATTAAAGTAAAGTCGCTATCTGCTTTCTGCACAAAACTGTCGAATTTGCAGCTTTGGTTAAGTCTGCTGTGTTTACTGGACATGTGGTATTTGGACAACACTTCTGAATCCGCAGCTTCGGTGTTTTAAGGCTGTTTCGGTAATGTCGCTATTTAATAAGTTAAATTGTTTGCATTGTTGACTGCACATATTGAAGCTCAGAAGAAAATGTCTACTTACATTCATAGATATGGAGAAGAAGTGGGAAGAGATTACACATTCATTTCTGCGGGCTCCTACCCTTCAGGATATGACAAGGCTCAGAGGCAAACCCTCAGAAGATATGCCTCAAAATTCAAACAAAAGGGTCAGTAATTTATTGTTAATCCTAACAACTCATATATGTGGTTACATTAAATTCTAAATATATATTGTTTTACTGCAGATGGAGAACTCTTTGTTGGAACCAGAAGAGTAGTAAAATCCATGGATGATGCCAGGAAGATTTTTCATTCATCTCCAATCGGAGGACACACTGGCACACACAAAACACTAAATGCAGTGTGTTCCAGATTTTACTGGTTTGCTATGACAGTTGACATTAAATTTCCTTTTCAGTTCTTTGTCCCTGTGTTCTGTTGGGTCTATAAATGTCAAATATATGTATCTGTAAATATATTCAGTAAATATATACTGTAACTATAATGGAGTGAGTTCATTGTCAAAGTTTATATAGTCAGGTGTTCCAATCACTTCAATGGTGACAGCTGTATAACTTAAGCACCTTGGCATGCAGACTGCTTCTACAAACAAGTGCCAAACCATGCTACCTTTGTTATTATAAACTAGAGGCATAAGAATTATGTGCCAAACCATGCTACCTTTGTGAATATGACCTACAAGCACACTTTAATGGGTAAAAAGAAGTGTCAAACCGTACTGGCTTCATGAATATCAGCTACAAACATACTCTGATTGGCAAAGTGAAGTGGTAAACTGTCATACCTACTTAAATTTGTGCTGGAATTATTGTTTGGCAGCAGAAATGTGCATAAATTACGTACAGTAGGACGTTTTGTCAAAGTAGGACGTTTTATCAGAACACCGGCTTTCAGCCTCCCCCCCTGCTGCGTGCGTCTGCTCTCGGCTGGTTTCCAGGCGAGGCGCTGCTCAACTCGAACAAGCCTAACCACAGCTGGTTCTACATGAATGTGGTGCAGAGTTTTAACCTGAAGATGGAGATATAATTATGGTTTTGGGCTGAAATATTACATTTAGAGTAAATTGCACTAAACTGCCACACTGATTACACGTGTACAGCTCCATTAGACACTCACATATACAGGTTATCAGCAAAATAATAATAATAATAAAAAAGTTTATTTAGGCGTTACTTGCTCTTTAAATGTCCAGATCTAAAATAAATATTTAGCTAATATGCACATTAAAAGAAAAGAGGGCAAAGAGATGCCCCATCTAACATCTGTGGAATCCAGTGTCTAACCGAACATGTACTAATGCAAGCAGGGAGAGCAGAATGAATGCTGATGTCTCTCCATCAGAGAGACTGGGGTCTCCTCACCCAGCTCTTATTTTGGTACTTCCCCTCTGCATCCCGTGCCAACATTTAGCCTAACGTATCTGTCTGAGTTATCTCAGTCATTGGTCAACGAAGACTTTGAAGATAAATAATGACACATGACGTCACTGACCCACCCGTGAGAGCCCGTGTGAGCGCACGCCTGCTGTTCACCGCGTGGGACCAGCTCACTTCGGCTGCATCTCTTCTTGTCAGCTGCTTCCGGTTCCAGAAAAATTCCAGCGTCTGGTCACACATCGTTTCTAACCTCACGGTGATTACCGAGCTCCGACTCGAACACCTCCGATCATCGCTTAAACGTTTCTGAGTAAATATTACTTTAAAAATGTCGCAGAACCCAAACCACAAAGACCCGGGCCGTGTCGGCGAGTGATTACACCGAAACAACGTCGTTTCCGTAGCCGTTAAGCTGTCACCGGATTCGGTGCGCCGAGCAGGAAGAACAGCTTCATATGTGAATAACGCCGCCATATTGGGAAGGGTTTGCGACCAAATAAAAAAAAAATCCCAGATAGCAAGCTTACATTGAAACAATATTGATTTTGCATCTGAATCATCAGTATGGTTGACCTTGAAATATTGATGCAAACTAGATGTTGAATCAACATTGATAAACTGATAATGAAACCATGTTTCGTCATGGTTGATGGTGCATTCATATTTGGTTTATAAAGAGATAAATGTAAGGTTGAAAAGTCATGGATTTTTAGTTGACTGGGAGACCAACTGTAGAAGACTGCTGGTGCGTCCCTCCTAGTCCTTGGCCCCCACTGGATCACGGCTGCAAGACAAGCCACAATACAGTTTTCTATACAACCTTGATATACTTTTCTTAATTTGAGAAAAATATGTAAAAATGTGTTAATTGTTTTATTAAATGTAGAAATTTAAAAAATTTTGAAACTGCAGTTAGAATCAGCAGGGTATCAGCTACAAAATTATATATTGAATGTGTGCACAATGAAAAGTCTTGCAGTGTAGGCAGTATGTTTATGTTTATTCATTTCGCAGACGCTTTTATCCAAAGCGACATACAAGTTTTTTTTTCCTGTTTTTTTTATAACCTGTAGGGCATGTTGTGATGTGTGGGGGAAACCGGAGTACCCGGAGGAAACCCACGCATGCATGGGGAGAACACGCAACTCCACGCAGAAAGGCGCAACCTTCGTGCTGCGAGGCAACAGTGCTAACCACTGTGCCACCATGCAGCCCAACACACTCCTGTAGCAAAACACAGTGTAGGAGACAGAAATGTGGCAAAAACTAATTTTCTAATTTCCAGTCATAAATGCAATTTTTACAAACAGTAAGAATTCTTAAAGATGTGACAATCAAGAACTTGGCAGCATCAGTAAACCCAGCAGATATGGCAGGGCCCAGGGCCTACATTATTTACTTAAGAAGTGCAGGTACCCGTGTAAAGACTGGACCTCTTTACTTTTTTTTTTATTAAGTACAAAATTCAGGCTCTAAAAAGTGCTTGAGTACAAAAAGTAAAAAAAATAATTACCTTAAATAACAAAATAACCACTGAAATGGCTTCAGTGTTTTATTTAAAAAACATAATTCTATAATCACATTTACAAAGAAAAATTTACTTCCCTGTGCTGAAAAGGTATATGCCATAGAAAGCATGCTTAGGTGCACCTACCCCCTCCATTAATAGCAGCAAATCTAATATATACAGGACTTATATTCTCCATCTATATAACTGAAGAACTTCCATCCATTGTCTGAACCCGCCTTGTCCACGTGGGGTCACGGGGGGGGGGGGGGTCTGCTGGTGCCTATCTCCAGCGGTCGATGGGCAATCGTGGTGCACCCTGGACAGAGAGCCAGTCCATCGCAGGGCAACACAGAGACACACAAGCCAAACAATCACACACTCACACCTAAGGATAATTTAGACAGACCAATTAACCTAACAGTCATGTTTTTGGACTGTGGGAGGAAGCCGGAGTACCCGGATAGAACCCACACATGCACAGGGAGAACATGCTAACTCCATGCAGAAAGATCCCAGGCCGGGAAGCAAACCCAGGACCTTCTTGCTGAAGAGCTCTAACCACTTCACCACTGTGCAGCCCCAACTGAAGAACTTTTTAAAATAAATACATAAACAAAGAAATAATGTTCAAGTTACACAAAACAGGTTTTTCTTTTAAGCCAGGCTAACTTAGTGAAAAAAATAAGCACATACAGGATAACAGATTTACAAAAATGGAGATATTTCCAAAGCACATGGACACGTATTTTAGCTTAGCTATGCAATACACTTGCATCTAACAAAAATTGTTTTATTTTAAACTTTTCATTTCAGCAACATAATTTAAAACATTGTAATCATCGAACAATCATGCACTGAAAAAAGTATTTCTTTGAAAGAACTTGAAAAAACCATGTCAACTGGTAACACACAGTTGAATCAAGTTTGGTCAAAGTGAAATATAAAGTTTGATAAAAGTAAGATTTTCATTTAGATTTCTTTAAAATTTTAAGCTCATTAAAATTATTCCAACTCCTTTGGTCCAACTTAAAAATGACAAGTTAATTGAAATTACCAAACTACCTTGGTCTAACTTAAAAATTTTAAGTTTATTGAAATTATCTTAACTCCTTTGGTCCAATTTATAAATTTCAAGTTAATTGAAATTACCCAACTACTTCGGACCAACTTAAAAATTCACATAAAATCAACTCAATATATATTAAAAAAAAACTCTTTGAAAGAACTTGAAGAAACCATGGGTAACACACAACTGGCCACACACAATCTAATTAAGTTTGTTCAAAATGAAAATACAAGGCGTGACTAAAGTTAGAATTTCATTCTGATTACATTGAAATTTGAAGCTCATTTTAACTACTTGGTCTAACTTGACTAAATCAACTCTATTTTCTACTTTACAGTGTAAAACTACAAATTAAACAATGTGTACTTGTCCTACTTAAAATTTTGCCTCCTAACTTTGTAAAAATAAGTACAAAATACATGAAATGTTATAGAAAATACAATACGCAAAATGTAACAAAATTTAATACAATTGCTCTCACAGTTTAACAACACAATGACTTCACATAGTGGATTGCATATAACTACATCAAAAAGCCAGACATTGAAACTGTATTGTAAACATTTTGGGGAATACTATTGAAGGAAGATAAATGTAATAGCTCATGTTATTTTCAGCTGGCGCTGAACAAATCTAACTCACAGTACAAAAATGACTGAACAATACCTACATTACAAGTAAATTCCTGTGCCTGAGGGTGTACTGCAACTCTCAGTTGTGTCTTTGCTTCAATACACCTGAATAAAATGGCTGAAAAACCTCAGTATGCAGTTCAGGAATCCATAGCCCTGTTAATGACCAGATTATTTGATTCAGGTGTGTTGAAGCAGAGACACAATTAAACGTTGCCGCATACTGTCACTCGAGAACTAGAATTGCTAAACACTGGTTTAAAAAGTCAGCTGATGTACCATCAATGGTGCCCTTTTAATTTGAACCATAGGCAAAACTCATTTCACTGAAACATACATACAATCCAAAATCCATGGCTGAACCAGAATCAAAACCAAGATGCAGCAAAAGAACAAATCTAAACTGAAGTGCATATAAAAAACAGAGTAGATGACACTTGGCTTTAAAGGGATTTTCCAATCCTAAGTAAAACTTTGGTAAATGAGAAAAAAACATTCTGTAACAGCCCAGTTATTCTCCTGTTTTAGCAGCAGTCTATTTGCTTCGTTTTAGCCCAAAAACAATATAAATTAATTTTAACAAAAGCATTTCATTCCCCTTTACCTATATTGTTTTATGCTCAACTAAAGTAAACTGTCTGTTGCCAGATCAGGAGAATGACTGGACTGGTTACAGAATGTTTTTTCCCCTCACTTATCCAAGTATTACTTGGAAAATCCTAGAAATTTTATTTTCAATTACTTCACCGTCAGTGAACAATCAAGGCTTAGATTATAGTTTCTGCACCATGCTGGGAAAAAATACAGCTACAAACAACATACCTGTGCTACAGGTACATTTTGGAAAAGGAAACAGCACAAACTGATCTTGTGGTTGCAAACCACCAATATTAATTCATATTTAGCAGTTTCACATACAGGTTCTGCACCTTTGGAGACATCTTTTGAGGTTCCAGCTCCATTATAATTTTCTGCAACACCTCAAATGTAATGCGAAGGACCTTTGGATAAGCCAGATTAAGAATGTAGATCAAACCTAACAGGAGTGCACATGCTGTTCCAACTGAGGACAGCCTATCAAGAACCTCTACTCCTTCGATTACAATCCCGATGTCCTCAGGAGGCCCTTGAAGTTCATCTCCCTTGGGCCGGATGACATACACAGCCATCGTGCCGTCTTCCAGGTCTTTTTGCATCTCTGCTCTGTGACTGTCCTGCAAAACAACACAAAAGTCTGTCAGCTGGCACATTTAGTTTATTTATCATGGCTGGAATCGTCCCTGTATCAAATTTTATTTTTATATTAATCCTTCAACAAAATTTCAATGGATATTTCCTTAGACTAATGGCAAAAACTACACAGTGTCACTTTAAATGCGCCGTTTAGAAACATTTTTTTCCCCCCACACTTAAGGCTGTTGCTAAAACACAGTGGAAATGCAACCAGGCCTAATAAGGCCGAGTGGATCAGGCCCAAGTAGTTAATAGTAGAAAAACGGGCCATTAGAAAACTGGTCTTATACATCTTCAGATTTCCTTTTTATCTTGTGAGCAGGTGAAATGAACAGAACTGACTGCCCACGTCTTCATGATTTGCTCCACCTGTTTCTCTTCAGTTGTCCCCCCTTTAATTTCAGTTTGTTCCTGTATTCCCTGTTGGTTCATTGTCTCCTTTTCATCTCTTCCTGGTTGCTGCATTATTAAGTTTCTCACTTTATCCTCGTCTGCGCCAGTGATGTCTCACACTAAGCAGCCAGCCTCATTAGTTCTTACTAGTAGCGCTTTCACATTAGACCCAGTTCAGCCCGATCCAGCCCCGTTCAGAGCTTTCACACTCACGAGCAGAGATGTGCGGAGCTGTTAATATTTTCTGACCGAGGCAACCGTGGTTCTATTCAGGCTGAAGCGGTCCAACACATCCACCTTTGAACTGATAGTGACATCACTATACGGGACCTTACTACCCGATGTAATCCCGTTGCAGCTGTAAATAACCTGCACTCACCTGATGTGCTGTCTGCCTCTTCCCCATTTTTTTGCATGGCTTCCAGTGATTTACTGCCAAAACGACATCTCCTCGCAGGTCAAACATGGAGTACCGTATTTTCACGACCATAAGGCGCACCTAAAAGTCTTAAATTTTCTCCAAAATATACGCCGCGCCCATTGTGTTGTTGTGAGACGCGAACGTAGTAGAAGACAAGGGGCGTGGCGTGAACGTGCGGACGTGAGCGAAGACAGACCCCGAATAGTTCAAAAAGGCAGGTATGCGCGG